TGCCCTGCCCTGCCCCCCTGCCCTGCGCTGCCCTGCCGCCCGCGCCCCTGCGCTGCCTTCATTATAGGGTTTTGAAGGAAGGTGTCGAGGTCCCGGAGCATGGTTGGACTAGATACCGTAGGCCCTAAACCTTAAGCCCGAAAGCATTAAACACTGAGCACCAAAGCCTAAACCCGAAAAGGCCGAGCAAAGCTTGAAGAGTGTTAGGCAGAGGGTTTGCTCCTGTCTCACCCAATGGGCTTTAGACAGGGCCTGGCATTGGTAATGCTAGGCGCTTGTAGGTTACTTAAACCCGTAACCTTAAACCCGAAACCCTTAAGCGCTTCAACCCTTAAACCCTCAAACCGCAAAGCGCCAAACCCCAAACCTTAAACCCAAACCCTAACCGAAATAGTAGGGTTGTAGGTACCAAAAACCATCCAGAAGGTTGTATTTGGGACCTAAAACCCTACTACTTGGGCACCTGGGCCCTTAGGGAGTTGCTTGGCATCCACACCGTCCACACCTCGAAGTTTCAAAACTTCAGCTGTATATAGATCTCAGATGGGAGCCTGCGAGCGGTTTAGGAAGTTTAGGGCCAAGGGGGTTCAGGGTTAATGGTCCAGAGGCTTTAGGGTTTAAGTTCAGGGTTGCGGGTACGTATTTCAAGTTGCAGTAATATGAACTCCGCTGCTAACGGTCTAATAAAAGAAATTGAGCAACTGATGAGCCACAGCTGATGCACGAAATCCTACACTGCCTTAGAGAATTACTTGAATCGAGGATGGGAGGTTCCTGATTGCACAAATCACCCGTCCTGCCCGTTTTGGGCCAACTTCTTCACTAAGTCCGAAACTCGAAAGCCCAAAACATAAACCCGAAACCAAGAAAGCCCAAGCCGAAACCTCAAACGCGATCCCCGGTGTGGGCCATAGTCACGTCTCACGCCTTGGTTTGACAGCGTTTGCGTTCGACTTGGTTGATTGGCGACTACAAGCCAGTTGGATCAATTGAGAGCATATAACGAACCGTTGTATTTGCCATCGCCTTTCATGTTCAGGGACCATGCTGACATGCTCCCTCTGCCTTACTGTGTTCTTTGTTGTTCCTTTTTTTGGTCGCTCTGCATTATATTTATGTCTCTTACTGGCCACAGAAGTATGTAGAGATCAGTGGTAAAAGACCGTATCCAGGAGCGGGTGGCTCGAATTCCTTGCGGCGGCGCTTTCGACTCTGTGAGTTCTGCGGTCTGAACTGGGTTTGCAAGCAAGTTCACGTAACTTATTCCCATACCGACAAAATGGCATATGCACAGCTGCGGAGGGATCAAGTGACCCTTGCGCGTGTTGGCACATGGAATGATTCGTTTCTGTAATGTTCGACGAGATTGAGGACAAACTGACGGGGTGCGCCACAGCTGCTCTCAGCAAACTACACTTCCGGCTTTTCGTACAACCAACAACTGTTGAAATTGAAAGAAGCACCGCGTTCATTTTCGTTGTATGCTTGTGTAGTTGAAATCATCCGAGGTGATAGGGCTCCTAAACCAAAATTTCTAAGTACCACTACTTACTCCAAGAGCTTTCGCAACGAGCGGATGGCTTCGGGCAAGATCTCCGCCCGAAACCCGAAATAAAGCCAACCCCACATACATATATATTCTGTATCTGCGGCACAACCTAGGCCCGTAGGTGGTTAGAGGCAGTGCGTGTGGAGAGGGGCCACAACCTAAACCCCAGGGGAGGGGCAAGGAAGCAGCAAGGAGAAAATCCACCTAAACCATAAGGAAGGCGGTGCATGGCAGGAAGCAGCGCAACACGTGCGCCCAGACAGACGGCAGCGCCAGCTGCATTGTAAACGAGGTTACGCCGCGGCGAAAACACAAGTACAAAGGAAAGGCCCTAGCAGAAAGGCCAAGCCTAAACGCAAAGAAACCCGAAGGCCTAAGGCAAAATGCGACCAGGCGGGCACAAAAACGCTCCCAGTTATCTGCAAGCATTGCCTTCGCAAGTTTGCAGGTAGCGACCTGCATCGAAACCCGAAGGAATTCTAGATCGTAATCCCCCCATCCGACGTCTTAAGAATCCCTGAGCCCTGCAGCCGTAAACCCCAATCAAGAGATTCTCGAATCAGAAGGCCAGTTTGACAGAGCTCGGGAGTCACAAAAGGATTTCGAGTTCAACGAAGCTTTGGAGGCCGCAGAGTGCAAAGAGGATTTGGGGTGTGTTATAGGGGGCGGTATGATTAATAATCGTATTCCGTATTCTTTTTTAGTCCTTGAATAGTTATATTTAGTATAAGGCACCCAAGAACCCGGCTCTTAGCATTAATGCCCCCATGCTAGGGTTCTGGGGATTGGGTTTAGGCTTGTCTTGGGTTCTGGCTTCGGTCGGCTTCGGCATTCGGGGTTCAAGATTTCGCAACGATGTAGGACCTAGGCTTTTACGTTTAAGATTCCGAGAACCAACAAGATTTTTGTGGCACTTTCCTGGGGTTGAGCAGGGAAGATGTCGGTTTTTTGGCTTGGAGCTCAGTGTGTTTGGCTGCCGTAAACCCTAAACCCTACAAGGAATCTGTGTTTTTAACGGTGGCAGTGGATTTCGCTTCCGTCACGCCCCGAACCCTGAACCGCTGCGGTCCTAAACCCTAGACCGCCGAAATCCTGTAACTCCCAACCCGGGACCCTTAAATCCTTAGCTTCATCCTAAACCCCAGGCCCTTAGACTCTCTTGCATCGCAAACCCCAGACCCTTGAACCCTACCCAAAAACGTTGAACCCGAAATCTCGAACCCCAAACCTCCCAACCGCAAACCCCAGACCTAGCCCTTGGCTTGCATTGGGGCGGTAGTTTTTTTTTTTGGGGGGGGCTGTCATTAAGGTTTCTCGACTTTGGTATGTCATGTCTCCCAACCAATAATACTGAAACATAGAGGCCTTCTGTAGCGAATGTAGTTGAGGAATGAGGGGTTAGGGCATCGTGCGAAACCCTTTCTACAATCTTTACGAGCAATTTTGTTAACAAAAACATCGTAGAGACCCTGTTCTGTCCTGCCGATTAACGCAAAAAAGGAAGCCCTTACAACAAACCTAAACCCTAAAGCCTAAACCCTAAACCCTGAACCCTAAACCCTAAACCCCCGGACCCTGGAGAAGATATCTGCGAGGCTATGGAGGAGGAAGAAGAGGAGATGCTGAATGATGGCGAGGACGGTTGAGGGTTTAGGGCTCCGTGTAAGGATTCCGTTAAAGGGTTCCTTTCATTTCAGGGTTCCTTTATACTATAATGAAGGATCCATAGATGGTTTAGGGCTTTAGGGGTTTGGGGTTTATGGGTTTAGGGGCTGAGGGGCTTGGGCCGGTTTGGGGATCGAAGGGTTTAGGGCTTTTGGCGTTTCAGGCATTGGGTTTGGGGTTTAGGGTTGGGCGTTTAGGGTTTTGGGTTCAGGGTTTGGGGTTTAGGGTTTAGGGTTTGGGGTTAAGGGTCTGGGGTTTAGGGTTTGGGGTTTAGGCTTTTGTTGAGGTAGGGTTCCTGTAAAGGGTCTGAGGGTATCTATCAGGGTTCTGTAAGGGATCGAGTGCGAGGGCGGTTTACTTAAACGGCTAACGGACTGTGTAACTAGGGTCATAATGGTAAAAAACCCCTAAACCCTAAACCCTAAACCCTAAACCCTAAACCCTAAACCCTAAACCCTAAACCCAACCCTAAAAACCCCAGCGGCAGTTACCTGTACAGCTTGTGACGCTAATTGAAAGTTGAAAGACAGCGAGGAGGGTTCGGTGGCTGTTGGGCTTATAGTGAACCCCAGAAAGTTGGAACATGGATTTAGGATGATTAGTGTGGGAATCCCTATACTATAGCCTTAAGGGCATGAGGGTAACGATGTTCCAACTTTCTGGCTTCTACTGGAAGTGTGACGGGATTGCACAACAGATTTCTTTCAAGCCCCACAGCTTCTAATCTTGGAGTTGCCTGCCCCCTTATCCTGAAAAGACCCCAACGGTTCAGGATTTAGGGTGCAGGGTTTAGGGTTTACAAGCCGAACGCATTCAGCCAAGAGGACGAGGCGGAGGACTTGATCGGCTGATGGCACAAAAACCCTTGCGAAGTCTCTGCGCTGAGAACCCTTGGTTTGGGGCTGCATTTAGACGAAACGACGCTAGCTCCCTAAACCCCAAACCTGACGGGTTTAGAGTATTATGGAGTTAGGTCCCCGAAAACCATGTTCAGGATGTTTTGGTGCTTAATTCCATACTGGTAGTGTATATGGGTAGTAGGGTCCCTATTTAGGCCCCCAAATAGAGTACGGCACCCTTATAAAAAGGATCCTAAAAGGGACCCCCCCCCAATTTAGAGAACTGCCGATATGGACCCTTTGGGATTGCTGCAAAGGAGTTGATGTGCAGATGGATACACGGGTTTTACACGCAGAAGAGAGGTCGAGTCGTGCTCAGTCATGAATGTTGTCATCAATGCTTACCGCCGCCCGTAGTCATTATCACCATCATCATCATCACCATCATCATCATCACCATCATCATCACCATCATCATCACCATCATCATCATATACCTCATCATAATCATCATCATCATCAGCGTCATAATCGCCATTATCTCCTCATCATCAGCATCATCATCCTCATCATCATCACCAGCATCATTATCATCATCTCGCGCATCATCATCATCATCATCATCATCATCATCTTCATCACCATCACCATCACCATCATCATCATCATCATCAACATCAACATCAACATCATCATCTCCCTCATCGTCATCAACATCATCATCATCATCATCAACAACAACATCATGATCATGGCCATCAGCATCATCACCATGGCCATCATCATTCATCATCATGATCATCCTCATCATCAGCGTCTTCACCATCGCAACCGTCATCATCATCTTCATCATCATCAACATCATCATCATTACCATCAGCCATCAGCATCACAATCATCAGCGTTTTCACCAGCAACAACATCACCATGTCAGAATCTTCCAGGATAGAGCCATCCGCATTTTCACCGCCATCTGCATCATCATCATCATCATCGTCATCATCGTCATCATCATCATCATCATCGTCATCATCTCCTTCATCATCGTCATCATCATCATCAGAAGGTGAAGATGTGGACGATGTGCTGAATGTGTTGCTGAAATTGAAGATGGTAATCCTCGGCCTAGGACCTAGCTTGATGGCAAGCAGAACGCTGCGACGCACGTAACAAAGCCGTCATTTTCAGATCCAAGGTGATGTAATTTATAATTACACATGTTCACTGAAGTGTAGCAGCATGGTACATACCATGGCATTCGCCTCAGGAGTCGGGAGTTTGCATTGCATCCCAGCGGGTGCCCAAACCTTCAAGGCCCAGACGGTTTCTCCAAACCCAAACCGTCAACCCTACGAGCTACACCCTACACCCCAGCCCCAAAACCCTAAACCCCCAAACCCTAAGCCCGGAGCCCCAAAGCCCCAGACCTTTCACCCTAAGCCCATGGCGACCGCAACATCGCACCGTACAGTGTCCAGAATCCTAGTCGAACAGCGAGTTGAGCGGGTTAGCATGCAGGTCTGCATACTGTATATAGTGAGTACCTACTTGTCGATACAACTATATGGATGTATATATATATATATACATATATATATATATAGACATAACTACAGAGGAGGATTTGCAGGTTGCAGTTTGCACATTCAAAGCACAGTTCTTCGCCGCAAACCGGACACCATCCTCCCATTTCGGAGCCATCTGCTGCGTCCTCTTGGTGGCTCGCAGCTTAGGCAGACTTTTAAGGGTCTAGCGCGTTTGGGTTTCGGGCTGTGGGGTTTTAGGCTTTAGGGTTGTTTAGACAAAGCCCTAAACTCCTGGCCCCAATCTCTAAGCCGACTGCGCATTTCTCCGTGTCAAGCGCCCCTGCAAAGCTGAGCCGAACGTCCTGCTTTCCAGCATCCCAGCCCGTCAAAGAAGCATGCAGCACGTCCTAAAGCCCTTGAGCCTTACTTTGATTACTCAAAGCTCCAGGCAATCCCAGTCGACGGCCCCCCTTCGCCTGTCTTTACCAGAGTTTTGCCTCTCGCGCGCTCCATGAGCCCTGCGAGCTCCGTGGCCCGACGCTGCCTAAGGCCGAGAGACGCTCGGGGGTGAGGGTTTAGGGCTTCACTTTCAGGTTTTGGGGTTTAGGGTAGGGTTTATTTGAGTGTTTAACCCTGAACCCCAAAACCCTAAAACCCTAAAGCCCTAAAACCTAAAACCCTAAACCCCTAAAAGCCTCAAGCCCTAAAACCTTAAAAACCCTAAAACCCTAAAGCCCGAAAACCCTAAAACCCTAAAACCTCAGCTATTCCGCCGTTCTGTTTGCTTTGTCGACGTCTCGCTTTGACTGTCTGGTGCTTTGTAGGGAATGAGGGTGGATCCCTATGATAGTCCCTTAAGGTCCCTTATAGTAGTCCCATGTAGTCCCTATAACCCTAAACCCTAAACCCTTAAGATCCCTTATTGTAGTCCCTATAACCCTAAACCCTTAAGGCCATTTTGGCTCAAGCTTTTGCTCAACTGAGGGTTGCTAGTCATATGGTTCGGCGCCTTGTGATCGATGGCTTCTGAGAAGATCCCGGTTACACAAGTAGATCAGGGCACCCAGGGCGATGTGAACAGCGACAACCCTGATGTTGATAAGTCCAGCAAGCTGGACTCGACACATGGTGCCTCTACTGAAAAAGTGGAGCAGCCAGCCAAGAAAGCCAGAACAGGTGATGTTCATGAGCAGAAGGAGACAGTTGGCAAGCAGCGACCGAGTGCTCCCAAGAAGTCGGAGCAAGAGATTCTGAATGATGAAAGCGCTCGGTTCATGGCTGAACTAATGGAATCGTTGGACGGAGAGCAGAGCATGTCTGTGGGCAACAATACGATCAAGCTCAACACCAAATACATCAGAGTGCGCAGCGCCAAAAGCTCTGTAAGGGTAGATGCTACCGACAGTTCAACATGCGCCCAGATGCTAATGCGTTGGTTGGAATCGGGTGAGGTCAGCAAGCCAGCAACTTCGCTGGCTATTGAGAGGCTGGGTATCACCGGCATCTCAGCCGTCACCTATGAGCTGGGAGCCCATAGCTGGATAACTTCGGGGTCAAGCTCGGGCCCTCAAAAAAAAAAA